GGTACTCCTTTGTGATCCAGCACCTTGATACTCACAAAGTTGCACCTTTGGCCAACCAGCTTCCCTGTCACGTAGACACTATGTGTGCTTGCCATTTTACACCTAGCTGTTGGGATTTTCACGATGGGGGTTGGTGGGTGTCCTTCAGCACCAACCACTACTGGTTTCCCCAAGCTGACTTATTGTTGGTATTCTTCTTACACTGGCTCCTCATATGTCCTCGCTCTCCACAGTTCCAACAACCTTTCTGGGAAGCAGCCTTTCCTGCCGTGGCATCTTCCCTGTGTTGAAGTTTCCAGCATTGAGCTTTCTTGTGCCTAGGTTTGTTACAGTGCCAACAAAGTCCCTCAAACCTCTCTGAAAGAGCTCTGGCAATTGCATCCTGCATAGTAGAGGGGTGTGCTTGCTTTACTTGTATCTTCAGTTGTGGACTGCCCAAGGCATCTACAATCTGATCCCTCAGCAACAGCTTGAGGAGATCGGGTGGCGCAGTTGGGTAGGCCTTGTGTGCCATACTTTCCAAATCCTGTGCCAACTCTTGCAGGCTTTCTCCTTTAGGACGGACTCTTATTCTAAACCTAGCTTTGTAGACTTCGGACTGATTTTGAGTTCTATACCCGAGTTCCAGAGCAGCTACCAATATTATATAGTTGTGTCTGTCATCTGCTGACAGCTGTCCAACTATTTCCAGTGGTTGTCCCTTCAGGCTAGTTGCCAGATATACTGCTTTTTGCTCCTCTGTCCATCCATTCATTTCTGCCAGGAGCTCAAATTGTGCTCTATATGCTTTCCATGGTGCCTTCCCATCAAATTCCTGTGACTTCCTTCGTACTAGATCACCCCTGTTGCTGACATGTCTGAGATGTGACTTCTGGTTGGACTGAAGATGTCTGCATTAGGGATTAGCTGCGGGGTCTGGAAGGGGCTTCCTGTTGTCTGAGGCTGATTAGGTCGATGACTATTATATCCTCCTTGCGTAAAAGACAGTAAATCATCCTTTAATGTATTTAATTCACTTTGAAATTTGCTAATGTTTTCCATTTGTACTTCTTGCCACTGTTGTTGACTTTTCTGTAGTTGCTGCTGACTTTTCTGTAGTTGCTGCTGACTTTCTTCCTGTTTCCTTTCTTGTTCCAGTTGCCACTGCTGTAATCTCTCTTCTTGTTTCTTTTCTCATACTTCTTGTTTCTTTTTCCTCCAACAACTGCTGTAATTTCTCTTCTTGTTTCTTTTCTTATTCCTCCAACAACTGCTGTAATTTCTCTTCTTGTTTCTTTTCTTATTCCTCCAACAACTGTTGTAATCTCTCTTCTTGCTTCTTTTCTTGTTTGTTTTCATGTTTCTTTTCTTGTTCTTCTTGTTTCTTTTCTTTTTCCTCCAACAGGTGCTGTAATCTCTCTTCTTGTTTCTTTTCTCATTCTTCTTCTTTGTTTTGCTACTCTTGTATTGCTGTCACCAAATCTGCTAAGCTATAGTTTGATTTGCTGTTTCTTGTTTCGATTTATTTATTTTTATTTTTTTTGTCCCACTCTGACACCAATTTGTTACATCTCTGGTTGTTGGTTAATTACCCGTAAAAAAATTTTTTCCGAAGAACTTCAGCGATACAAGTCCTTTCTTAAATAAAAGTAGTTTATTTTTTCTCAATACAACTTTGCAATACACTTAATTTCCACAGTCACTTTAACTTAAACACACGCTATAATTCACAATGATTTACACATTTTACTTACGGCTTGACTCGACTATCTGTCTATATTTTCAATGTTTTTGTCTGCTATTCCAGTTCCAATTAATTGTCTTGCTTTATCTGGCGTGCTTATATACAGGAATAGAGGGCGTCTAGCAAATACTGGATTAATTGTGATGTTCCCCAATCCTTCTAGAAACTCATCACGTGTTACCATGTGACTTCCGCTGTCATAACAATATTGATAGTTTGTTGAAAGGAAAGAAACTAGGATGATTCCTAGGAAAGAGGGGGGCAGTCATATGAGGACAGGTTAAGGTCCTTAAAATTATTTATCTTGAAGGAGAGGGAATCTGATTGAAGTGTTCAAATTACATAGGGAATAGACATGCTTGATACATAATATTTTTCATGTTTAGTGATAATAGTAGTAGGACTAAGGGGCATAGATTTAAAATT